CCGGCGGCCCCGCTATTCCTGGCTACGGTGGCGACCATGGTAACGGCGGGGCAGGGGGTGCTAAGAATCTCCGGTGGAGGTTCGGTTGCCACCTACGACGACTCGACCTGGCAACATTTAACGCACGCACACTGAGGACTGACGAGAAGATCCTGGAGCTGGAAGAAGAGATAGACAAGTTGCGCTGGAATATTATAGGATTATCCGAGGTCCGAAGAGAGGGGGAGGACACGGTGATTCTCGAATCCGGCAACTTGTTCTATCACCGGGAGGGCGACCATCTGTCCCAAGGAGGTGTCGGATTTATCGTCCACAAGTCTCTCGTCAACAACGTTGTACAGATTGAGAGTGTGTCGACGAGGGTCGCGTACCTGATACTCAGAATCACCAAACGGTATTCGCTGAAGGTCATACAGGTTTACGCACCAACGTCGGCACATTCCGATGAGGAGGTGGAGGAAATGTATGAGGATATTTCCAAAGCCATACATTCCTCCAAAACCCACTACACGGTGTTGATGGGAGACTTCAACGCAAAACTAGGCACAAGAGAAAGCGGTGAGCTGAAGTTAGGGAAATTTGGAGTAGGGCAACGGAACCGAAGGGGCCAGCAGCTGGCCGACTTTATGGAGAAAGAGGGACTCTTTATGATGAACTCTTTCTTCCAGAAGCGGCCCCACAGGAAGTGGACCTGGTCGAGCCCCGACGGTTCGACAAAAAATGAGATTGACTTCATTATGACGACCAGACGCCAACTGTTCAGTGATGTCTCAGTGATCGCAAGGGTGAAAACTGGCAGCGATCACCGAATGGTTAGAGGCACACTGAACCTAAATGTAAAGTTGGAGAGGTCTCGTCTAATGAAGTCAACGCTCCGTCCCCCTCGTGCTCTGATCCAAAATCCCGAAAACTTTCAGCTCGAGTTACACAACCGCTTTCAGTGCCTACAAGATTGCAATGCAGTGGACGATATGAATGACAAGCTCGTGGAAACTGTCCATGCGGTCGGAGCTAAGTTCTGCAAGACCCGCCGCAGAAGAACACAAAAACTCTCCGATCACACTCTTAATCTCATGGCTGTCAGACGGGAGATGAGGCTGCAATCGTCAACAGATTTGACAGCATACAGGCAACTGAACAGACAGATCTCCAAATGCATGCGGCGAGACTTACGCAACTTTAATACTGCTCGTATTAAGGAAGCGATCGAGCGGAACCAGGGCTCCAAAGTCTTTGCCAGAGATCTGTCTGCCAGAAAGAGCCAACTGTCAAGGCTGAAGACTGAGTGTGGCAGCATCGTTTCCGGGACACCTGAGATTTTGAGTGAGATTGAGAGGTTCTATGAGCAGCTGTACACATCATCGTTGGAGCCACACGCAAGTGTGAGTAACGATCCAAGAGCAAGTCTTATCCGACACTATTCCGATGATATCCCGGACGTCAATCTAAGCGAGATTAGAATGGCTCTCCAGCACCTTAAAAACGGCAGGGCCCCAGGCGAGGATGGAATTACAGCGGAGCTTCTGAAAGCGGGTGGAACACCGGTACTTGAAGTCCTTCAGAAGCTCTTCAATTCCGTCCTCCATGGTGGCACTACTCCAGAGGCGTGGAGCAGAAGTGCGGTGGTCTTGTTCTTTAAGAAAGGCGACAACGCTCTCTTGAAGAACTACAGACCGATTTCCCTTCTGAGCCGCGTCTACGTGCTGTTTTCGAGAGTCATTACGAATCGTCTCGCACGCAGACTCGACGACTTCCAGCCTCCCGAACAAGCCGGTTTCCGAAAAGGCTTCAGTACCATAGACCACATACATACCCTGCGGCAGATTGTACAGAAGACTGAAGAGTACAATTTGCCACTTTGCCTGGCGTATGTGGACTATGAGAAAGCCTTTGATTCCGTCGAAATTTGGGCGGTGCTGCAGTCCCTTCAGCGGTGCCAAGTTGACTGTCGGTATATCGAAGTGCTGAAGTGTTTGTACAGTAGGGCTACGATGGCTATCCGAGTACAGAACCAGAGCTCGAAACCTATCCAACTGCAGAGAGGTGTAAGACAGGGTGACGTTATATCCCCGAAACTCTTCACCGCTGCTTTGGAAGACGTTTTCAAGCTACTGGACTGGAAAGGATACGGTATTAACATCAATGGCGAGTACATCACTCACCTTCGATTTGCCGACGATATAGTCCTTATGGCAGAATCGCTGGAGGACTTAAGCACTATGCTCAATGACCTCAATAGTGCCTCCCAACGGATAGGTCTTAAGATGAACATGGACAAAACAAAGATTATGTTTAATGTCCATGTCACACCTATGCCGGTAGTTGTTGGGAGCACTATGCTCGAAGTTGTTGACGAGTACGTTTACCTGGGACAAATATTCCGACTAGGTAAGTCCAACTTCGACCGAGAGGTCAATCGACGGATTCAACTCGGCTGGGCAGCGTTCGGGAAATTACGACATATCTTCTCGTCAGGTATACCTCAATCTCTGAAAACTAAAGTGTACAACCAGTGCGTGTTGCCAGTGATGACTTACGGATCAGAGACGTGGTCCTTCACCGCTGGCCGTATGAGGACGCTCAAGGTCGCTCAGCGAGCTATGGAGAGGGCTATGCTCGGAGTTTCTCTGCGTGATAGACTCAGAAATGAGGATATCCGCAGTAAAACCAGATTGACCGACATAGCCCAACGGATTAGTAAGCTGAAGTGGCAATGGGCCGGCCATATAGCTCGAAGAACCGATAACCGATGGGGAAGAAAGGTTCTCGAGTGGCAGCCTCGTACCGGTAGGCGTAGTGTAGGGCGACCCCCCACTAGATGGAGTGACGACCTGGTAAGATATGCAGGAAGTCGATGGATGCAGGTGGCTCAGGACCGTGCTTTGTGGCATTACTTGGGGGAGGCCTATGTTCAGCAGTGGACTTGTGAAGGGCTGTGATGATGATGATGATGATGATGATGAATTATAGGATTCCAAGCAGATGGTCGTGCCCAGTCATCTTTTCTATTGAAATTAGGATGCTTTTTTATTTCAATAGCCTCGCGAATCGTCCTTGGAAGGAATCGGTGTTCTTTAGCGAGGATTCGTGGTCTGTCAAATCTGATGTATTGACGGGAGCGATCCTGTACGTGTTCACAGACAGCAGACTTCCCGGAGCGTCGATTCTTCACATCAGCCATAATTGTAAGTATATGTGTTTTTGGATATATATATGTTGCTGGATTTCTCAAGAATTGCTCTTACTCACAAAAATACTTGAAACATATTTGCGTTAGGTGGGTGGAAAACAAAGTTGGTATCTTCAAATCAAGAGTGGTTTAAGCTAAGTCAGCCCAAGTTTTACCTTCTTCGATTGTATCACAACTTACAATCAGGTTGGATAGTAATCAAGCACTGACCTATAATATTTAAAAATAAAATTTATAAATTATTTTTGCGTACAAATGTTATTTAAGTTCTCTTTGCACTTTATAATCCTAAATTGTTTTATATTTACGTAGTAGAGCCATGCTAAATCCATATTATGGTCGTATTACGAACGGGTCAGCTCGACCAAGGATGGACCCCATCCTCACAGAATACCAGCTCAATGCTGCTGTTTCATAAGGTGAGTGTAGAAAACTAGAGACCCTACGAAACGAGGCATTCCGTCTTAGTCCTAAGGGGTGACAACACATCTGTATTTTGATTCTTAATTTAGCATAGGTTGCACGTGGTAGAGGCACGTTGCAGCTATACTATGGTTGTAGCATGAGTGGGTCGGCTCGACCGAGGAAGGACTCAAAAGAGAGAAGAAGGACAAGGTGAAAAGACAATGCATCTGCATTTTGATTCTTAATCGAGGTTAAATGTAGATGTCTATGGCCCACAACACCCACTTACTATCAGGTGGACTGTGTGCTAGTTTGTCACCCATATCCTATAAAAAAAATAGATATAGATGTCTATGGACTGCAGCATCCACATACCATTAGGTCGACTGTGTACTCGTTTGTCACCCTTATTCCATAAAAAAAATCCTGTTCACTTCACTACTTTTAAAACAATTTCACTGTCGCTCATAAATCAGAATGCAAACATATATACAATACTTATTTTCATATACAGTAAACTCTCGTTAATGCGAACACGGTTACCACGAATTTTGGTTTAAGGCGAACAAAAGTTTGCTCTAGACCAGTGATTCCCAAAGTTGTCTATATCGACCCCTAGGGGTCTATGACAACCTACAAGGGGTCTACGTTAGCGAAAAAAAATTTGGGGGTCCATTAAATGAAAATGGGGGTCCACGATAGTGGATCTCAACACATACACTGATAGTACCTATATACTTACATCATACTATCTTATAATATCAAAACATATACATTATTTATAAAAGATTTATAGTTTATTTTATATTTATTTAATGTTACGTATATTTTACATAACAGATACAAAATTTTATTTTGAGTAGTTTTAATTTAAATTCAATTGATAAATGTATAAATTAACATGTGTTTTTACTTTAAGTTTTTAACACTAAACTTCACTACAGTTAGAAATTTACAGGAAATCAATATCAGGTAAGTAGGGGGTCTACCCAACACGGAAAAACATGGCAAGGGGTCTACGACACAAAAAGTTTGGGGAACTCTGCTCTAGACAATAGTTCCATAAGCTTCAATGTAATTATGTTCGGTTAAGACGAACCCTCGTTAATCTGAACTTCGAACAACTTTTTCGTCCCTTCATGGGTCCACCCCAGTAATCCGGCCCCTGTCTAATCCGGCCCCGCCTGTAATCCGACACGACTATAGCATGTAGACACAGTCGAGCCGCGCTATGAATACGCCACGAGGGTTAGTCGTCCTTCGCGACTGCGTGGACAAACACGTTGTAACTAGTTCGCGCCACAACGAATTTTGCTTGACGCCTATTGTCTCAGTTTGAGTGTGACTATAGTAGCGGCTTAGCGGGCATTCATTATTTACTATTCAGTTTCATTCATTGTGCATCATGTCTTCGCAACCCCAGAAGCGAAAGCACAAAACATTAACAATTAAAGAAAAAAATGATATTTTGGAACGCTTAAATCGTAATGAATCTTTCAGTAGTTTGGCGAGTGAATACGGCGTAGGCCGTTCAACAATTTATGACATTAAAAAGAACCGCGAAAATATTCAAAAATTTATGTCAACCACTGACTGTGGGCCAGGCAAAAGGCAGACACTCAAGAAAGCTAAACATCCAGAGGTGGAAGAAGCTTTGTATATGTGGTTTCGTCAGGAAAGAAACAAGCATACGCCTATTTCTGAGCCCATATTGGCCACGAAAGCTAAGTTTTTTTACAAGGAGATAACAAAAAAGGACGACTTTTTGGCTAGCAAGGGATGGTTGGAACGCTTCAAAAATCGTTATGGAATACGTTTGATGGCTATAACGGGAGAAAATCTTTCTAATGATACATCCTGCATAGAGCTATTTAAATTGAGATTTTTTCAAAAAGTGAAAGATTTAGATCTTTGCCCTTCACAGGTATACAATGCAGATGAATCAGGGCTTTTCTGGCGTGTAATACCTAGCAAAACGTTTGTTTCATATAACGATAATTCTGTACCCATACGTAAGGTGATTAAAGAACGTGTAACCATATTACCATGTGCTAACGCTGCGGGTACACACGCGCTAAAGATGGCGGTCATTGGAAAATCTAATAAACCACGTGCATTCAAAAACATTGATATACCTGTACACTATTATGGACAAAAAAGTGCGTGGATGACAAAAGACCTTTTCAAAAAGTGGTTTGACGAATGCTTCGTGCCTGAAGTTAGAAAATGGTTGAAAGATCATAATCTTGCTCAAAAGGCGTTATTGCTTCTTGATAACGGTCCCGGCCATCCGTCTGAAGAAGAACTGACAACAAACGATAAATTCATCACTGCCATGTTTATTCCACCAAACTGCACTGCTCTGTTACAACCAATGGAACAGCATATCATTCAGTTTGTCAAACAAGACTACAAGAAGAACCTGCTACTGAGAGCCATATCAAAAGACCAGCCTATTGAAACGACATTAAAAGAATTCAATATGAAAGACTTTGTTTTTGCTCTTTGTCAATCCTGGAATGCATTGCCCCCATCGACCATTACATCGTCATGGAAAAACTTGTGGCCAGATATTGTCACCACTCCTGATAGCGATCCACAAATCAGAGTTAATTCGGAAGTAATAGAGCAAGTTGCTGTCGAAACGCAAATAAGTTCACAAGATTTGGAAATCTGGATCCATGGAATCGATAAAGAGGAAAATGTATTTCATGAAATGTCCGACGAAGAGATTATAAATCAGGTTTCTAGTTCTACGATAATAAATAAAGAAGATGATGACGATGTGATTGAAACTACTCCGCAAGTGGCAGCACAAGATGCGATCAACGCATTTGAGCTGGGTTTGCAATGGGCTGAAGAGAATGGTGCATCCTGTGATGAACTTTTACTTTTGAGAAGATTGAGAGACAAGGCTCTAGTCTCGCGTTTTAACAATGTAAAACAACCGACAATTTATAAATATTTTCATGCTTCATAAATTTATTCGTTCATATAAGTTAATACATAGCGAGTCCTTTAAAACACATTTTAATTCTACTAACATTAACGTGTTATTATTTTTTAAGCTCTATTGCATTAATGATGTTAATTTTTAAAGCCAACAAACATAATATGTTTATCGTGTTGTTTAATTTACTAAATTCCACATCGTATGATTTATAGTACATACTTATAAAATTTTACCACTTCCATATGTAATTTATTGGATTACAAGGTACTCCTTTTCAAATAGTTCCGGACTAACGGGGGGTTGTGGCTGTACGCCATAGTCCGACAAACCCACTCACATACAACTTAATTTAATATATATCCTGATTAATTTATTTTTAAGATTATAGCTCCGAAATTTTCTCCGCTTTTTTCCCACTTAACCTAAACTGTGAACTAAATATCTATTGACAATTTAAAACCTGTGTCAGACGTCTTCAACAAGATTTTAACTACACTCGCATATATTCTCTTTAAGAGATTGAGTATTTCCATAAGAATGCTAAAATGAACTTGATGCTACCTAGACTGCACCAGCAGTGATCTGTAATCTAGAGAACAATTTTTTCCCTAAAAATAAAAATGTTTACAGTAATATTGAACATCTACCTCTTACACTCACACACTTAAAATTTAATCCAGACTTCATCATATTAACAGAATGCGGACCATGGGACAACAATAAGATTCCTAATATAATAAAATACTAGCAATCCGGCTTCGTACAGGTGATTTCTGTATCTCGACAACAGCACCATCTACCGTGTTCTAATGTAAATATAAACCATCTAGGGACCCATTCAAACACACACAAAAAAGTCATCAAAATCAGTTAGATGGAATCAAAGTCTATAACGGACATAGGTAGAAACATTTTTTGTGTTATAGATAAATATAGATTCATATTTCACTACAACTCTTCATCTCAATCAAAGTGATGGAATGGTGACGTAAATGAGTAAAGGTATTAAGGAAATGTTAAGCAAACTAAACTAATGCATGCATCGTGATGAAACATTGATACTTTTGATACTACTATTAGTCATCTAAAAAAATGTCTAAATCGCCGTTTTAAACAAGACTACGACTGATCATTATATGATGTTACTAACCTAGTTAAGTATAAAGCTAAAAGATAAGTAGGTACGTTAATACAAAGTTAAGCACAGACTTCACAAAGGCACTAATGCTAAGTTTTTTATGTAATATAAACTAAATATAAATTAATTTAAAAAAAAACGTCTTAGAAATGATGTTGTGTTAATCCCAATACAGTGATAGAAATGCTAATAAACAAAATTTTATAGTATTATCTTGTAACTAAGTCGTTACAAAAAATATTGTATTAAAAACATATAATATACCTAAAAGCTAACGTGTCAAGAAACCGTGGATTTTACGTGGTAGAGCCATGCTGCAGCTATATTAGTAGTATAGTTGTAACACGAATGGGTCGGCTCGACCGGAGAAGGACCACCCTCACAAAGAATACCAGCGTAAAATAGCAGCTTAATACTGCTGTTTCGTATGGTGAGTGTAGAGAACCGAAGGCCCTTTTTACTGGAAATGAGGCATTCCATCTTAGTCCTCACGGGAGGCAACGCATCTGCATTTTGATTCGTAATCGAGGATAGATGTAAATGTCTATGGGCCACAGCAACCACTTACTATGTACTCGTTTGTCACCCTATTCTATAAAGAAATCACTCCTGAAATATAACGTTATAAGAAACATAATGAAAATGCAAAAATAATTCGTGCTGATCCCAATAATGAAATAGAAGAAAATAAAAGATTGTGAAAATTTGTAATAAATTGCAAAAAATTTAATAATAAAATTCCCAAAAAGCCGTGGTAGCTCAGGCGCTAAGTGCTCTCTGTAAATTTCACCGTACGCGAGCAGTCCGGTTTTGACTCCCGCCGACACCAATGAAATTGTTAATTGCCGCGGATTTACTGCGTGCTTGGTCGCGAGCTCGCGAGGATACCGGTAAGAAGAGGAGGTAAATAGTTTATGACGTATTAGAAATAGTTATTTCAACTTTGATACTTCGTAAATGGATTTAAAAATCCACACGATTTTAATACGAAATCATTGATTACTTCTAATTTTAAATACAACATGAATGTATGTAACTATACTGGTCTTAGGATCTATACCTACTTTTTACAAATCACATATAAAATAATTTTAAATCTTCAATGAAAATAAGATCCATGAAATCTTGACCAATCTTAATTTATCATCATCATCACCATTACAACCCTTCACAAGTTCTCTGCTGAATATAGGCTTCCCCCATATAATTTATTTAAAAATGCCACAAAACGCAGCTCTGAGCCACCTGCATCCATCGACTTTTTTGCACCTCTTACCAGATAGACACGTAATGGTATGCTAGTTTGTATTTGGAAATGATTTTGCCACAATAAAAATAGGAATAACATCCTACATCAGAGAGTGATCGGTTCATTATCTCACTGCTAGACATGAACGACCTTATGTTATATTTTAGTAAAGTTTTGGAAGTAAGAAAGGGGCCGTCGCACAATCCCAATAAAATACAATAGACGGACTCCAAATATACTAAATTAATTTTTTTATGTACCACTTGCTCGGCGGTGAAGAAAACCATCGTGAGAAATAAGAAAAAAAAACATTTTCGAAGACATGAAGTTCGCTAACACGCATTGGAGCAGTGCGGCGGACATTTCCTTGTGCTAAACCCTCTCAGAAAGTAGAGGAGGCCTGTGGCCAGCAGTAGGACGTATATTATAATCTGTAACTTTACTAAAAAAATTAAAAACATAGATAGAAAGACAGCAATATGTTTTATTACAAAAAAACTTTAAGAACCTTTAGAATAACATAAAAATAATAGCCCATTTGAATATCTCTAAAAGGATCGTACAATTTTGTCGAATTATATTCGAAGCCATCCCAATAAATCGGTTATGTAATTACAATAACTTTTTCGCTTACATATGTATGTATCTATCTGATTATATTTTAAAAACTAATACAGAAACATATAACAAATTGAACACTAATTGTACACAGTCCAACTCTATGATGCCTCTTTCTAAATACTGATGCAATGTAAAATAAATACATGATATACTAATGAGCTTCAAATCTGGCACTACACGTGGATGTTATAATATTAAATCTAAATTCCTCAAGTAAGACAAAAATAAAGTAGCCGATATTATTTTATCATTCGGCAAATCTTTGCTACTCGTATTTTCCCGTCATAACTAAAAAGAGGTATAATTACTCCAGTACACAAGAAAAACAATAAGGTAATCTATATTACCTTATTGTTTTTCTTGTTAATTTGTCTATGTTAATTTTACAATATATAATTATGACTAACATTACAACAAAACTCACGATGAGCTAATTTACTACGTGCTCGGCTGCGAAATCTAAACTGGAAGGAAACTGCAATTTAAAAAAAAAAGTGTTCCTCCAAGTCAGTCAACGCGCATTGGTACAATGCGACAGATGCATTTTGGCTCCAAAACCTTTTTAAGCCCGGTTTACATTTTGAGAAGTGACAAGTGCGAGTGACAATGACAAGTGACAAATGACAAGTGCTTAGTGCGTGTGAACAGGCAGTGACAAGTGACAAGTGGGAATTAAATACCACTTGCCACTTCTCACTTGCCACTTGTCAGTTGTCACACGCACTTGTCACTTCTCAAAATGTAAACCGGGCCTTAGAAATGTTACAAGGGCCACATCCAGCTGTGGGACGTAAGTAGGCTGTTAATTTTATACAAACATTCTTAAGTACAATGATTAGAAAATTAATAATTGAAAGGCAAGTTATTATAAATCTTGGATGTTGGCAATACTTATAAATTACTAGCTGGTACCCGCGACTTCGTCCGCGTTCTTAAATATCGCAATAATTTAGAAACTAAGAAATAAAACTTAAACAATATTGAATTCTATCCACTAGTTTTTCCGTAATGCTCGCACAACTGAAACCTCTATCATTTTATTTATATAGATGAGTAAGGCACACTCACGAATATTTTTCGGTAAATATGTACACATACGTTTTCTCGTATTTTACTAATGGACGAAAATGCCATCAACAGGAATCCCTTTGTTTTTATAAAGTATATTCACTATATCGACTTCGCTTACCTTCGCAATATATCTGTCTGATATGCGTACGAATGTTACAGCTTGATACCTACCTGAATTTTATTCAAGTCGGTCAGAAAATAACCCATATTTCTACCGTGCAATTTCACAACGACATATATGCACGTTAACGCCGGTGTGTGCAAGTCTTTATATCGCTACATCCTTTTCTATCCTCAGAACACGGAAGATTGCATCGCACTTTGTAACACAATGCTTTAGTGAGTTATTAAAACTGCCGACTCTGTGCCGTCTTGCTGGATAACAGCCACTATACTCACAGTCGAGGTCATTGATCTCTTGACTGGACCGTCCAGTTTTTGTAACCCTCTTCGTCTCCCGTACTACTGCTAAAATTGGACAAGTAAGGAGAAGCGTTATTAAGATGAGGAGGTCGTGAAGTATTGGCTAATGTTATGTTACAATCGACGGAAAGCGGTTGACAGGTATACGAACGCATTGCAGAAAATCATTCGTCAAGTAATGGCATAAGTGGTTTATTTAAAAATATATGGTTTCCTTTAGGCCGAAATTAAGCGAATAATGAATAACGAACCTTAAGGTAGTTTGAATTGATGTTATAATTTGCAAACTATACATATTTATTACGGAGTAATAATACACATTTTCTGCTCTTTCAAGCTAATCTTATTTGTTCTATACTCGTTCTTGTTTAAAAAGACTTTACTAAACAGAAATAGAAATTTAATGAATATTTGCATAACATTACTAGTTTTTGTAGACTCTACGAAAGCTTCTTTAAACAGATCTGGCGATATTCAAAAACAACACTTCTAATAAGTACACAGTATCATTAAATATCCATTGGA